TTGGATGTTTACATTTTATTTCCACTTTCTCTATAGTTTCCAACATCCAAAACAATTACAATAAAACGGCACACTAATATACCAACGCCTAAAGCTAAGAGAATCTGTACTTTCACAGACATATGAAACAAACATATCGCACGCCGATAAAGTTACAAATCGGCCATGCAAAGATTCTAATCAACATTCTATTATTGCACTATAAGTGGCCCCATAATAAAGCATCGATTGACTTTAGCTCCCACGTTTATTCAATGCCCTTTAAGGAAAATTGTAATCAACCATCTCTGCTTAAAACTCATTCATGAGCAACTATTGTTGAGGAAAACTTTATATTCAAACCCACAATGTGTCACAGCCACATAAAATAGTGTGTCACTAATCTTGTAAAACACAAATTGGAATTATATCTGTAAACTCCAAGAAATGTAATCTGAAAATGTTCTACGCAAACGTTATGGCATTAATTTTGAGTAGATGCATGGACGATGCTGCCCCAGCTTGCTGATTAATGAGAGTGCGGCAAAGTGTAAAGCGTGCAACGTCAGAATTGGCAGCGCAGGAATTAAAGCACACCGAGCCAGAAGGAACTCGAAAGTATGTTTTTAATCAAACTGCAACGTTGTGGTAAGCTGCAAGTACTTTTGCATATTAAAATAGAATAAGACATGCTAAAAGGAGAGCTGAGGCGCAAACAGGCAGCATAAATCAAAGGAAACCTTCCTGCTCCAGTTTCATGGCGTTGAGCTGCTTTAAGACATGGCCGAGCGCACAAAAGTGTGCGAAGGATGAAAACAGAGAGCTGAGCTTTCGCAACAAGCACTTCAATTGCTAGACACCTGATCGTGGCAGTGGCACTAAGAGGTTTACAGGACAGAACACCATTATGAATGAAAATCAATGTGCACTCGCAGATTTCACTTTAAGAAGTACATATTACAATATTCTCAACAAATGCTGAATAAATTGCGGTTGCGTTTACCTGTATACATACACATATATACTATATATGAAGTACTTTTAATAGTAATATTACACATACGCCATGTGGTGTGCAATTCAATTATGCCTAACAAAGCAATACCTCCAAGGCACAATCAAAGGCAAAGGCACACAACAACAGTCAACAGTGCAATTAATCAAATTGCAAGAACCTTTAGAAGCAGGAACATCAACGACAACGGCAACGACAACGACAGCAGCAAGATGGCGACCACAACAAGGACCACTCCTTTGGCTGGGCGTGGGTAACAACAATGTTGCACTTTGCGTTCGAGTTTGCGTTCAAGTTAAAGCAGCATTAAAACTCAATCATTAACCTTATTACCAAGCAGCGGTCGCTCTTCCTCTTCCTGCTGCTGCGGCTGTTGCCCTTGACTGGCTCTCGCAGACTGCCTTTTGGCCTGCCTCCTCGTTGGCTTCCTTGCATAATTAAATTTTAAATACAAACTTAACAGGCTCTTACAAGTCAACCATGTTATTGTTGTTGCTGATGTTTTGCCCGCTACGACCGCAACTGCTTACTACGTCTGTACGTTAAAGGTAAAGTTTAAGCCGTTCTGCATTGCGTATACGCAACGTTGTTGCTGCTGTCTTGATGATGCTGCTCTTTTTGTGGCCCCATTGCCGCAACTGCTGCTGCCGTTGTCTTGCATTTAATTTATTTTCACTCACAAACACGTACATGCTCGTTTTACACAACTTATCTTTACCCGCTTTTAATTGCATGTTTTTCGCAAGATGCCCTTAAGCAACATTTCAATTTCCCATATTTTTGTAAGCAGCAATTACCTTTTTACATATTTTATGAAGGCATTCGTTAAATTTGACGTCGTACATTAGCAATGGCGAGCTGTAGCTATTTATTTCTATCCGATGTCTGTCGATATTAATATGTGTGTGTTCGGAAAATATCCATTACACTTCATTTTTGATGAAGGGCATTTGAGGATTAGCTATTAACCTAATGCTCTGTGGGAGAAACGTAATTTAGTCAAGGCAAGGAAAGAGCACATATCGAGACAGCATTCGCATCTAACGGTTTCAGTTTATTATGTCTTTTTTTGTTGTATTTCAGTTATTTATAATATACAGAATCTAGAATTATTAAAGGACTGTGATAGAAAAATAAATATGTTTATATGCTGCTTAAAAGTAACTAAAATTACAGTTAAACTTAAGAAAACTACATATTTTTCTGATTTGTTTACTTTTTAAAGAACGCTTTGTGTGATTTGAGAGTGCTCGAGCCATGTACGAAAATAAACTCAGCTCGGACAGGACAGGTAGGCTACTAGCGCCACCATTTTAGATGTCCAGTTCCAGCCACATTCTCATCACTTACACAACAGACTGATTAAAAACCCCCTCAAAAGGCAAAGAGCTCTCACGCTAATTACTCGCTTCAAATGTGTTTACGCAAATCTGGCCACACACCCGCACGATTCTCGGCATTCGCCGCAGACATACCCATATAGTAGCTATTATGGTAAGAATCAAAAACAACCAAACCAAAATTAAAACAGCAAACAAAGTGTACGTGCAAACAAATGCCGAAGGTATGTGCGCCACAAAATTGTTTGCCGGCAACACACGTGAAATGGCAGGTTGGCCCACTGGCTGCCCTAAGCAGCTTGAATCTGGCCTACAGGTAGACTCGATGTGGCAACGAGTGGCACTGGAAGCAAATTGCATGTAAATGGGGCGCACCCGTGCAGGACACAACTAGATTTTATCAGCGTCGGTGGCAAACAAACTTCCAATTTACACACACATTTAAGCTCAAATAATCACAACACCAATTTACAAAATAGCACACTGACTTTCAAAACTTAAATTGAAAAAACTGCAGATTCAATATTTTGCTTTTGTGGACAGCATTACCTGAAATATGTTATTTTTATATAGTATGTCGGGACTCAGATGACTAATAGTCGTGTGCTTACTTTTAACAAATTATAAAATAATTTGAAATAGTTGATAATCAACACACACGTGTAAGTGTATATATTCGTATATGAAACTAATAAAGCCGATTCAAGCAGAGTCTGAAACCAACCCCATTAAAAGCGCATAATTCTAGTTATTATATATTATAGATATATCTAGTTTAATCGACAAAACACAAAGAAAATAATGAAGGTTCGAAAATGCAAATGCTTGAGAGCAGCAGGCAGAGCTATTTCATACCTCAATAGTTCAAATTTAAAATTTAGAAATTTATATAAAAATTTAAAAAAAAATTAGTTTGTTTTAAGTAGGTTTCAATCTATAAATGACATAAAAAAAAAAATTTTTTTTTTTATTAATTACAAATTTTATGTCTCAATCAAACTACATCGGTTTTTTTAAGCAGCCGCAAGCGGGTTCTAGTCATGCCTGATTGTTTAAGTAAGAGTATATTCAGCATCAACACTAACCACCACGCTCTGCTGATAGCAGTGCAGAAATATTAATTTTCGCCGCTCGAGCCAATTATTTTTTTCGAATTTGTTTGGCAGTGCAGTCTTTTTTCTTTTTTTTTGATTGCATTACATTGTTGCATAGTTTGGTGCACACCGCTCCATTGAAGCAGAATGAGTGTAATGAGTTTCGCTTTAGTTGCAGCTTCAATTTAGGCAGCAGTCGTGCACGTTACGTATACGCCACACAGTGCCTCCATTTTGCCCGTAGCTGGTCAATAAAATTTGCGCGCCATTGATGCGCTTGGCTTAATGTAATCAGCTTTGCACACCAATGCCATTCTATGCTGTTCTATTCGTAGTTGCCTCCGCCTTTTCGTTGGCGTTGGCGCTGGAGTTGGCCAAGTGCAATAGTCAGCGCTTTGCCATTAGTTGTCTGTGCATGTGCATGTATTTGTATCTGTATGTATATATGTGTTTGTGTGTGTTTGTAACTTTTACTGTCCAGCCAGCTTGACTATCTTCTCTTTCTTTTAGTATAACATGAATTTCTACTTACATTGAAAGCAACATTTCCATTTATTTTTATTACTTACTTTCCATTTGTTTTGCAGTTTTCTATTTGTTTAGTTTGTTCAATTTGTTTGTTCAGCTGGCTTGCCGCAAATTATAATAAATTACGCTCAGTTTCGGTGCATTTTGGCCCACTTGAGAGCTAATTAGGGTCTTAGTTTCATATCGACTTGAGTGCCACACAAAATGAAATACTTAAGCTCGTCAGCCAGTGGAGCCTTTTAGCACTTCACGAACGTCTTATGTTTGGTCCGAGGGCTAGTTAATGCGTTACTAAAAGGATCGCTTCATTAATGTTCAAAGCAGAAAAATTATGTTTTAACCCCTGATGTAAAAATACATTATGAGCGCTTTTAGTTTCTCAAAGACGTTTGAAAAATATTATATAGTCACTTAACAGACTGACTGACAGTTTTATTGCCTAAACAATAAAGCATTTCTATCCGTTATTCGAGCTACCAAAATATTGCAATCGACCATCTTTTAGTCATAATTTGCCAATTATTTCAATCGATACTGCCAATTAAAACTGTCACACATTTTATTTACCGTAAAATTACAAACATGTTCCCTACAATCTTTCTCCAATAAATAAATGTCCTGCCCTCGCATCAATGTCTTCCATCCTGCACTCATTTGGCATGCTGTCGCTGTCGTGGCTGTCGCCAAAGGCTCATAAATTATGCCCAACACCTGAATGAATGTCAATTATGCGTAATAAATAACAAAATATGTGCGCTGATATGCCGTTAAATGGGATGTCGCCGCTGCTCCGGCCCTCCCTTGGCACAAACCAACATAATTAAGTGACTTTTAATGAGCGGCGGCCGTTTAGGCCACAAGTAACAAGCGAGAGCTGTGCACAGCTTCAGCTTCAGCTTCCCGCCCGACTAACGAGTAGTTGTTTGATTGCGATGTGCAGGCAAAATTTTGCGCATATTAAGTATACGCCGCATGGCAACAATAAACAGCAAAACGAAATGAATAAATGTCACAATGGTCGGCGCAATAAATACGACGAATGAGTGTCGACTTGGTTTGAGCTGACTTGAGTTGAGTTGAGTTCAGATCATTTTATTGCAGCTACGTGCCAGTCAGGCGTGACAAGTTGGAACACTTCAGGATGCCAGACGCTTGCCCTGCTCCCCTTGCTCCCCCTGCTCCTTCTCTGCCTGCTGCTGCTGCTGATGCTGCTTGTTAACTTTCTTGCGCTTCGTTTGCTTGGATGACTGTGACTGTGGCTGTGACTGTTCCGGTAGCTTCGGCTCCTTCTCCTCCAGAATGCGCTGAAATAGCAGCGCACTTGTGGCTGCATCCAGCGCTTCACTTTTCCGTTGAACGACAACTGAATTTCCCGTGGCAAAGTTGTCGCTTAAGTTGCGCCAGCTACGCTGAGTATTTGGTACACTTAGCTTATCGAGCAGCCGTGCGCTTAGCTGCGGCACCAGGGGCTGCAGCACAATACCGCACAGCCGCAACGCATCCATTGTTATGCCGATTATCGTTTCCAGCTGAGCCGGATTGGCAGCTCGAGCGCCCACTTTCAGTTCCCATGGACGCGCGCACTCAAAGAAATTATTGGCCGCATGCAGAGTAGAAATGACCGTGTCAGCCACCAAGTGGAAGTGATTTTCTTCATAGTGCTCTGCGCAGCGCTCTGCAATGAGTAAGCAAATGTAGTCGCAGTAATGCAAATGCCAAGCACGTATTAGCCCACTCATGTTGGCCATCCTGAAGTGCGCTTGCCAAACTAGGAAGCGAGCTCAAGCTCTCATAAATAACAACAGCGCACACTTCAGCTTGGTTGCTTCAATATTAAAAATGACATGGTGACTTGCTCTTGGCCATGCGCTTACCTGCTAGTTGAAGTAATGCCGCCTGCAGCTTCTGAGCCGCCTCCAAGTGTTTCAATAGGTGCGCCAAGTGCTCGGCATGTATTGCGGGATAAATTTGTGCCGGATTCAGGGACTTGGCACAGGCACGCGATAGTAGATTACCCAGAGTGTCAGCCAGCTCTGAGTTAAGTATTCGCAACGCCTTTACATGGCTATAATCTAGAGAAAGCAAACATGATATAGTAGCAGTGTCAGCACCAGATGTTTGTACTTGTATTTAAAGAAAAACTATTTCCGATATTAACAACACATCTACGTGTGTATTGGTCGATTATGGCATAAATAAGTAAAGTAGTAGGCGATTCTTTTAGTGAAGAATTATTAAGAATTATTAGCGTAAAGGAGAAAAGGTAGTGCGTAAAAATTCGATTATTTTATAGAAGAATTATTAAGAATTATGCACCCAAACTCTTAGCGTAAAGAAGAAAACGTAGTGCGTAAAAAAATACGACTACAACACGACTGTCTTTCTTTTTCCGAGAGACTTTCACAGTTGGTCGCCACAATTTTCTAATTAAATCAATATTCGCATTTTCCACATTTTATAATGGTTGCCGACTATTTGAGGGATGAGCTTCTGAGTTGAAAAGAAACGAAAACGGCTAATACTTCAGTGTCTGCGCAGTTAAGCACATACCAACATTTTCAAGTCCCCGATTAAAGTTAATGTACTAGCAAGTTTAGCTGAAAGACACAATATAGTGCTCAATAATCGTGCAACTTAAAGGGCAAGTGGTACTCTATTTCGGATTGTCGTTTAACCAGAGCCTATTTGCATCCCATGCGCTTAATTAGCAATGTCAGTTGTGTAGGCCAATATACTCGTACTCTCATAGTTGTTGCTGTGTGTTGGCCCGCCAATCAACTGGCTGCCAATTTGCGAATGCACACACACTGATTAATACTCGGCTCGGCAGAAGTGCACTGCGGTCTGGTAGCGCTTTGGGCAGCCATGACATCCTTTACAAGCATGCATTGCAATATTCATTAGAACGTCCGCCATTTGGAATCATTTTTAGACTGCGACAAGTTGACGAATGAGTGATGGCTTTCCAGCTTAACATCGATTTTAACATGAAATAGACAATTTAACTCTCAATTGAAGGTTCGCAATTCTGTATTATGATTAAAGCGAAATCTGTTGCAAACATAAATCCATTTTCAATAGAAGGTGGTAAGCTGAAATAGCATATTATTTATGTTTATAACGAATAATAGCTATCATGAGTCTTGAACGTGTTCAGGGTATTTTATTCCTGGAAATATACGCAATTGCATTTATTCTGTGCGAGCTTATTTATCCTTTTATATAGCTACTTGGGTATAAGGACTGGCTCTAGGTAAACACTAGGCTATATTAGACACTATATACTGAACCATTTAAACAATCCTTTGCACAAATATGAACTTTTCATGCATTTAATGTATGTTGTTAAATACAACTATAATTGCGATTTATAAAGAATTGATACGTTATTGTAAATACGAGTATATTAAATAGTAAATTACAATTTATCAGGACACACGCATTGATATGCCTCTTGGGACTAATTTCTCTTTCATATCGATCTATATCTGTTATTTACAGCCACATGGGTTGCCTAGTTGTGTTGTCCATTAAAAGGATTAGGGCGTCTAATGCCAAAAGGAAATGTCGCAATATAAAAACAGACGGCACACCCACATACAGACAAATAGACGTTTAAAGCTCGCAAAGTTGAAGATAAAACGCAAAAAGCACAACACATATACGTGTACACATTCTCATCACAAATAAAGGAGTGAAAGGATCCCTAAAAAAACAACAACAATAGCAAAAGGCATTTCACGCAACAACACAAATAAGCTACATAACAGGGTTGACATTTCTATAGCAGCTGTTGTTCTTATTGTTGTTGTTGTTGCTATTTTTGTTGTTGTCGCCATGCTAGCAGCATGAAAAATCGCATTTTAAAAATCTCGAACAACAAATGTTTTAAGTCGCTTAGTGGGCCAGAAGTGAAACTAAAAGGATTTTGTAAGCGCCAACGTTTATCACTTTTTTCTTATTTCAATTGTAGACGCTGGCTGCTTGTTTGTTGCTGTTGTTGTGGTTGTGCTGTTTTTTTCAGCTGCTACCTGTTCCACATATACATTATTTACGGGTCAATACTTTTCTTAGGCACGTATATGTTTATTGAAAAGATGTCATAAATGTGCACATAAAATTTGCAATTTCAAAAATGAACGAATTATTTTTGCGGTAAATTAAAGGCCACGCATGAAATGTCCTCAAAGTCAAAATTAAAATATGGAAAATGAATTACCTTCAAGATTATGGTCCTAAACGCAAATCTAGTTAATGACAACATGTATTACGGAAATGGTTTTGTTTTGTTGCTTATGCAAATATTTGACAAATAAAAGCTGCCGGCAATACTCCATGTCTAATAAAAATTATTCTAAAGTTTGTATTTATTTATTTATTTACAAAACGGTATGGAAATAAATCAGAAATAGAAGGCTTTAAAAATGTATAAAAATTGTTTGAGTTATGAGAATGGTAATTATACAAGTAAGTAGAGTTGGAGCTAGAGTTGGAGCACCAACAAAAATGTATACTGCTGTGTATAAAATTTAGAGACATAGAGTGTTTGTCTAACACTCCGGTACTGGTTGCATATTATTTTCCAAATTTACATAAATAATTGGAACTAATCCAACTACTTAAGCGATGATCAGAAATGTAATAAATTTGTACAAACATTTCAATATTTAACCAAAAATGCTTTTAAAAGTATATGCCAAAAAAGTTTTTTGGGGCAAACAACTCTGATTCAGTGGAGACTCATTATTTAGTCAATTGATATACACGTAATATGTATAACATTAATAACAAAATGTATATGCAAATTGTTTGCCAGTCTGAGCACATCTTAAGCCTGACCACTGTTACGGGCTTAATGATTCAAGCCACAGATTCTTTGGTAAAGTGGTGCCATTTAGGCAAATCATTGCCTCCATATAATAGCAAAATAAAACTACATTTTCAATCATTTAGTATATAGAGAGAAATGTAAAAACTTTAAATCAAAAGCTTCGCTCAGTCAGTCGCATATTTTCATTCTGTTTTAAAGTTTAGCAGTCAAATAACAATAACATTCAAATACAAAAAAAAAAAAAAAGTTCTATTTCCTTTGGGATTAAATTTCCATGGCCTAACTGAATAGCTCGAATATCTAAACATACCAAATGAATTTGCACTTCATTGACGCTAAGCTAAAGAGCTCAGCAATTCTGCGTGTTTTGCAAAATATCCCCCACTCATATGCAATTTAATAATAATACTTTAAAATTCAAACAAAAATACGCCAGTAGAAATGCATTAAACATTGCTTGCACAAATGATTGTATGAAATAACTGACTGACTGCCTGGCCAGAAGCCACAATGCCAGCGGTTCAGCAGCTTTATTGCAATTTTTTACAGTTATTGTTGTGAAAAGTTGTTGTTGCTGCTGTTTCTGTTTGCTGGCTCTGACATTTCAGCTTTAATTCGCAATCGAAATTAGTTCTGCTATTACACGCATCATTAGCTCATAAATATGAAAGTAAAAAAGACATTAATTATTTAAATAAATCTAAACATAATCGTGGATAATGGAAATATACTCTATACCGAAGAGGCTTACAAAATAGGTAATAGAAATATAAACATTATTATTTAATGAGGACTTAAAACCTATTGAACAAAATAGCTGCCCTCATTAGAATTAAAAATGGATTGAATATATATATTTTATGTACAACATATCTCTCCTTGCAAGCAAGGGCACATTTGGTGCTACAGGAATGAGAATTTTTTGATATTCTCATTTGGAAAAAAAAATAATAACAATTTCATACAAGCTCGAATGAATGTGTGAGGAGTGTGTTCTCTTTCAACTTAGCTTAACAACACAAATTTTGAAATGAAACTAATCGTTTAGTCAATATGGACTAAAATAATTGTATGCTCAGAGGATTGTACAAATAATTTAATTTAAAAATGAAATGAAATCTGCTATGTGAATATAAGTGAATAAGTTAAAAGCTATATAAAACCTTACATAATAGAACTCAAGCATCTTACTATCTTACTTAAAGCTTTAAAATGTTATAGTGGTATTGTGTAAGAAGACTTAAACTTTCACCACAGGTCGCGTCTAAGCAGCTATAGAACTTTATTTATCCTTTAAGTCATATTAACACCTTTAACATGTATTTGAATTGGGCAGCTTCATTCAAATCGTAACAATATAAAAATTATGCAGCTTTTAATTATTGATCATTGAATTTGAACGAACTGCGCGTAATTAATTTATCGTTCATCTCAATTGGAGCGTTAGGAATGTTAAAGCAGTATGCATTATTAGACCAAATTGTTCGACTCATAAATATGCATGCAAACTCAATGCTGGGCTGCATGCTCATTAGGTACTCTGAATGGAACGCAACTCGCACACCGCATGGAGGAATTCGATTATTTATTTATGTAGATTTTTTACAGACCAACATGCCAACACTTTAGTGAAGTGCTGCAATGCAAGCGATTTTTATGCACATTTTTATTTATTTTTATTTTCTTCAGAGCATAGCTTTCAAGTTGAATTTGCATTTCACAAACTTGAGCAACTGTGCAGAGGTGAGCAACGACGATGGCGAAGCCGGCAGCTGCTGAATGTCACATAAGAGTCGCATGCAAATACGACTACATGCATATGGACGAGTATGGATGTTGTACAGTAAAATCTCAATAGCCTGGACAAGTTTAAGCCTATTCACCATTCCTTCATTTATACAGAGTGCAGAGCAGAGTATTCCATTTGGTACCCAGGGGAAGTCAAGAACTAATTCATCAAAATATGAATGCTGAAATGGAAACATTCTCCTTTAGAAATGAAGAGCGACAATTAACTGCTAAATTGGCTGTTCGAGTTAAGGAAATTCGACTGTGCTTGCCTGCCAAAGCAGAGGCGTTGGCTTGAAAGCGTCAGCGACAGCGAGCTCTGCCAAAAGTGTTGCCTACTTCTGTGCGCTCGGCATCATTAATGCAATTGTGCAACTTTTGGTGCGTTGTTTCGTACGTACAATAGTCGTACGTATAGTCAACAGTAAGAAATAAAAATAGGGTAACTTTTAT